TCAATCACCTAAAGAACAGATCGATCCCCTCAAGCAAGGGATTGATCGGGTAAGGTATTTTGTGCATAATTTTTAGGTGTTCTAAAGCTGACCCAATTGATCCCCTATGACAATGGGTTGATCCCCTAAGACCCAGAACACTCCAACGGCTATTTTTTGGTGCTTTCAACAGGCATTTTTTCACTCCAAGCTTCCCCAATGGATAGTTCATCAATTTCTCTATAAAGGGGGCCTTCCAACACACCAAGAAGACTAAGGAATCAAGAGAGCAAGAGGCAATAAGCTACATTTTCATTCTTTCAAATAATCAAGAGTTTTTAGAGCTTCAAAGTCTATATCTTTGTATTTACCATCTTTGTTTTTATTGTATCCAAACCATCTTTGTTGTTCATTCATCATTTTCTTGTCTATTCCATTGTGTACTTCCAATTAGCAAACACCTAACCTTTGAGAGATTTTTAGAATTTGCAAAACACTTCATTTTTCTATTTTGTGAGTTTGTTAGCTTAAGAGGGAGGATAACCCTTAAGAGTATATTGTGTTGAGTTTGTAAAGCTTAGAGAAGCTTGGTTGTAATCTTCAACACTTATAGTGGATTGAACTCTTTGGCAAGAGAGGCTAAGAGAGAGGACACAGGTGCCTAAGGAAAGACTGAACCTCTATAAATCATGGTGTTATATTCTCTATCTCTATCTCTTATTTATTTTCAATTATTGTATTTAATTGTTTAGCAAAATTTATGCTTATTGAATATTGTTTTTAAAAAATTCATTAAAACTAATTCACTCTCCTTTTGGTTATTCCAAATCTTTGAGCTAACACTACTTAACTAAATCTGTCACATTTTAAAGAAAAGTCTCAAACTTGACTTAGGTATCTTTAAATAGTAGATTTCAGCTCATGAAATTAGATTTTAGATTTGGGAGTGTGTTTACGCATGAGAAAAGTTATAGTATCTTTACAACGCCCATCCAAATGATGGTATCAGTTTGATTTCAAGTTATCTAAGCCTTAAATCATCTTTACAATTTACCAAATAATTTAATTATTGGAAATTGATCTTAAAATTACTTCGATAATTTGGTAGCAATTTAAGATAATTTTCTCATCTTATGAGTATTCATGGAGATAAATGTTCTACTTTGAAGAGGATTCGTCGTTGGATTCATTAATATATTCATTAATATAATGATGTAGATCTTGTAATAGTTTGGTGAAATTATTGAAAAATTACATTTAAAATTTATTTTAAGAAAACTCACTAAGTCTTCCAATAGTTTGGTAAGATTTAGTTCAAGATTTAAAAACTCCAATAGTTTGGTAGGATTAAAAAAATATTTTTTGCACAAAAACTAGCTTATGAAATTCTTTAATAGCTTAGTAGAACTCTTTTTTTTCTAAATTTAAATCCATGAAAAATCTTCTAATAGTTTGGTAAGGCTTATGAATTTATTTTTTTCAAAAAATAATTTTTTATTTTGAAAAAAACCAATTAAACATAGACAAAATTCAATAAAAATAAATTAGATAAGAAAAGGTTACTAAAAGATTTGATACGGCTTGACTTAGCTTTAAGCACAACAGATGGCTAGACAAGCTCGACTAGGATGGTTCAACTTGGTTTTAAAAGGGATTGCTGGAATCGTGTTGTGAATCGGGTTACATAGCAAATCAAATTCGGGTATTAAAAAACACATGGATCCCAAATGAACCTTGGACTCAAAACGATGCCATTTAGCACTAGCATAAAAAAGCCAAAATCTTTGTTTTTGTTTCATAATTCCCTATGTCTTCTCTCTACCATGCTTTTTCTTTGTCTTTCTTTCTAAATTTCAACCTACAGCTTCAAATAAACCTAAAAACCGACAAGAAATTTCAAAAATTAAGGAGAATCCCAGATTATGGCCTTCGTGAAATCTTTCAGCCTCCACGATATTCAACAAGAAAGTTCAAATTACACCGAAAAATTCAAATAAAGCCCAAAAGGTTAAATCCAAATCCAAAAAAACCATAAAATTTCTAGAAATCCTAAAAACCCAAAGATTAAAATTGTTTTCCAAAACAACAAATTAAATCAAACCCTAGAAACAAAATCAAATTGCAGAACTAAATATGACACCAAAAAATTTTTTAAACACTTTGGTTACTAGAACTTGCTCCAATAATTTCTCTATAATCCCTATCCATGTCTAACTTAATCAATTGGGGTTTATATAGGGATTCAATGCCTTTCAATTTTGGAAAAATTAACTCAACCGAATTTGTGATAATTTTCTATGATTTGATTTTTGGTGATTTGATTTCTTGTAACTTTCTTTTTTCATTATAATTAGGATCAAAGAAATCCCTAAATCATTCAATCTATCATTGACTTTCTCTTAAAAAAAATCCCATGATTGAGTTTCCATTTTGCCTGATTTGATTTCTAGGACATGATCTCAAAACTTTCTTGATTTTCTTTCTTTTTTTTTTATTTAGTTTAAAGCAATAAAACAAAAGAAGAAGAAAAACTATTAGCCATGTTTATTGCGCTCAAAGTTCAAATGCCAATTGGATAGGTCCCTTCAAAGCCTATTTATTCCAAATCAAACTTGAAGAACTAATAAATATTTCAAAAACCCAATGGACCAGAAGAAATCCAACCTAAACATGCTAATTAAAATATTTTGTCCATTCAATTAAAAATCTCAGACAAAATGGAGTGTCTATAGTTGCTCCTCTTTACACATTTCTATGAAATAAAAATTATGCAAAGATATAGACAACTATTGCGTCTGGTTCAACTCATGCAATTTTGAAAAAATTCCTCTAAACAGAGGCATGCAACTTTGTTAAAATTTTAAAGAACTCCTCTAAACAGAGACACATAACTTTGGAAAGAAAACCTTTAACTAACTCCTTTAAGTAGAGGCATGCAAATTTGGAAAAATTAAAAAAAAAACTCTTCTAAACAAAGGCTTAAAAACTTTAAATACAAATTAGGAAGTGAGCTCCTTTAAATAGAGGCTCAACAACTTTAAAAATATTAAATTGGGAAAATGAATTCCTCTAAACAGAGGCTTAACAATTAAAAAAAAAATTGAATTAGGAAAATGAGTTCTTCTAAATAGAAACTCAACAAATTTAAAAAAACTAAATTAGGAGAAGAAAATGGGCTTCTCTAAATAAAGGCTCAACAACTAAAAAAAATTGAATTAAGAAAATGGGCTCTTCTAAATAGAGACTCAACAATTTTAAAAAAACTTTTAAATTTGATTGATTTTCTTAAAGTGTCTTTTTCTTCAAAGATTAAAAATCTTTAGAAGTTTCTCTCTACTGAGAATTTGAAGTTTCTTCATTGAAAAGTCTTTGGAAATCACTTTAAAACATATAACTTGATACTCTTTTCATTTCAAATTGAATATTCATATCTAACTCAAGATGGAGATTAAGAAAACTTTAATTTAATTGTTTTAATATTATTTCTTTACTTTTTTACAATATTGATAAAACTATAGATTTAAATATTAAAAAAGTTTAAAAAATAATTCAAAGATTTTAAAAATTTAGAATTGTATGTGTTAGGAAATTGAAATAATTTTGAGACAATCCAAATTAAAGAAACGTAGAGATTTAATTTGAGAAAAAAATAGTATGTTTTCTAATTTTTTTTATTATTTTGATTAATATGTTTTATCTATTAATTTTTTATTTGAAAGTTAGGCAACTATTATTAATCATTCTATCATTTTTATTTTTTTTCTTTATCACTTCTAAATATTCAAAAGCTTTTTATCCAACTAATCAATTTTTAACATATTATTTGAAATATATAAAAAATTATAAAATTTTATGAAAAATATTCTGAAAAGAAAACTAACAAAAAAGCATAAAAATTAATTTAAATTATAAAAGGTTTTTGACCACTACAAAAGGAAAAAAAAAAGATGTAAGACCTGCATGAGCTAAATGGCACACATAATTAAATAAAGATTCAATAAAAAAATAAATGGTATAACATTAAGCCTTGAATTGGTCAAAAAACAATAATTAAGAAACAAATGGGAAAACTTTAAGCTTTAAGTTGACAAAATTCTTGCATTAAATTGGATGGGAACAACTTTCCCATTATGGCATTGATATTTTCAGACCAAATTGCGTGCAGATCTTGCTTCTTTGGGTACTGACGTGTCACCTAAGTCGGTTGTGTCGCGCGTGCTGGAAAATTGTTTGGGTGTTTCCAGGCCTTGATTTAGCAAACTTAGTCCGCTCGTCTGTATCCTTAAAAATAATAAAATAATTAATAATCGAGATAATAATTAATAACGATAGTGTTATAATATTTTTTTTCTATGTTCATAAAATAATCTTAATCTTTAAAATAGGGAAATTTAAACTTTATTTCTAAACAAAGATATTTTGATTTAATTGAATTTCATGTCAGCATTATGGTCCATATTAGCATCTTTTTTCCTGTGAGCATAAATAATCTCTATGGTATATCCTGTAATCTCATTTAAGAATCAGTTTCATATCATCAGCTTCATCATTTGAGATTTTTCAAAATCTAAAGAAAAATTATTGTCCATATATTTTATTTTCTTTTTCTATCTTTTATTTTTGGTATATTCTAAAATTATGTCTTTTTTTTAATATATAAAACTTTTATATTTTTATATTTTAAAACTATTTAAATTTTTTATTTTTACTCTTTGACATTAAAAATAATAAAACTTTAATTTTATCAAAAAATTTAAATTTTAATATTAAATAAATTAAAATCAAATTTTATTTTAAATTTCATAAAAATTAATACGTGATAAATATTTTGAGTCAAACGGAATGCAACTTTAAATTGAGAGAGAAGTACAAACTGACTTAGAAAATACCTTTATTTAAGAATAAAGTTTAAAATTACTCTATTTTAGAAATTAAGATTTTAAACTACCTTACTTCAGGAAAAAATTCATTTTTTTCCTTATAAATAAAACGGTGGGTTTGAGAGGGAAGATGTGCAAAAATAGACGAAACTAAGAGAAATTCCTCAAATGGAGTCCCAATCTCTTTGCTTCTTACTCTTTCTTTTTCCCTTTCTCTTTTTTGTATTCAAGGCCTTCACAAAATGGAAAAAAACCAAAGACCATAACCGACGCCCAAAGTTACCTCCTGGACCAACAAAATTGCCTCTCATAGGAAACTTGCATCTCTTTATTGGCACTCTTCCCCATCGCTGCCTAAGAGACTTGGCCAAGAAACATGGCTCGGTGATGAACCTACAACTCGGTGAGATATCCACCGTTGTAATTTCTTCACCGGAAGCTGCACAACAAGTCATGCAAACCCATGATGTGAACTTTGCTGATAGGCCATATTCTCTTGGTGCAAGTATCTTAACTTACAATTTCAGTGACATTCTCTTTGCCCCATATGGAGACTATTGGAGACAGCTGAGAAAAATCTGCACACTGGAACTTCTGAGCATGAAGCGTGTGCAATCATTCAGGCATATCAGGGAGGAAGAGGTTGCAGATTTTATTAGGCAGATTTCTTCCAAAGCAGGATCGCCAGTTAACCTTAGAAAGAGATTACGGTCTTTAAGTTATTCCATCATTTCAAGGGCTGCCTTTGGAGCAAAATACAAAGACCAAGATGATTTCACAACACTTGTCCAAGAGGAATTAACAGATGCCTTGGGTGGTTTCAACGTTGGTGACATATTCCCATCGCTGAAACTACTTCATGTTATTAGTGGAGCAACCGCCAAATTCAAGATGCTTCAACACAAGATCGATAAGATTCTTGAAAACATCATCGATGAACATAGAGCTAGAAAAGAGTCAAGTACGAGCTGTAGCAAGGAAGCAAATGACCTCGTTCATGTTCTCTTAAATCTTCAAGATCATGGGGACCTTAAGATTCCACTAACAGACTCCACTCTTAAGGCAGTTATTTTGGTTTGTATCTTGATTTTCGTGTTTCTCCTTGTTTTAGTCTTTTTTCTGCTACATAGCATAATAACATTGACTTGTCTAATGAAACTAAAATAAGTTTTAATTACTTCAGGACATGTTTGCTGGTGGGGGTGAGACAACATCAACTACTTTAGAATGGGCAATGTCTGAAATTTTGAAAAATCCAAGAGTTCTTAAAAAGGCACAGACAGAAGTGAGGCAACTCTTTGGTAGCAAAGGAGATGTTAACGAAGAAGGCCTGCGGGATTTAAAATACTTGAAGTTTGTTGTCAAAGAAACCCTCAGACTACATCCTCCTGGTCCTTTGTTAGTTCCAAGAGAAAGTAGAGAAAGATGTGAAATCAATGGCTATGACATTCCGGCTAAAACAAAAGTAATTATTAATGCATGGGCCATTGGAAGGGACCCTAATTACTGGGCCGAAGCTGATAAATTTTATCCGGAGAGGTTCCATGATAGTTCAATTGACTTTAAAGGAGCTAATTTTGAATTTATCCCGTTTGGTGCTGGAAGGAGGATATGTCCTGCGATGTCACTTGGTATAGCCAATATAGAGCTTCCGCTTGCAAACTTGTTGTACCATTTTGATTGGAAATTTTATGATGGAAGAAAACTTGAAGATATAAATATGACCGAGGTCTTCGCTCTCTCAGTAACGAGGAAATATGATCTATGCTTAGTTCCAATTCCTTACCGTCCAATGTTGATAGACTGATATGTTGATATACTAGGGAGATAGTATGTTATAAATGGGCTAATAAACTCGCAACCTTCTTTCCATATTTCCATGAACAAGACTTCACATGTATCAGAATAAAACATCTACTGGCGTTGCTCTTTTCTATATATATATTTTCATTTTGGATAAATTTTGATTTTGCTCCTCAGCAATACGCAAAATTGCTCTCTAACTTTATTATTGTATGCAATCAAGATTGTGCACTTTTATTTTAGTGTAATTCACCCTTTACTGTTACCGAGTGAAAAATAGGTAAGTTTATATATGTCTGAGCCTCATAAAACGTATTTATAGGCTTTGATGAGTAACAAAATGTTATCCCATCCATGGGTCAGAAGAGGGTAGAGTTTCAGATATTGCACAGTCTAGCTCTCATGGAGATTGTCCTAATAATTCCAGATTGTGTAATGGTAGAGTAGAGGATGAGGCGGTCCACAGGCTACAAAACTGTTTGGTGGGGATGACTATAGTGTATTATAAAGCTTGTAGGGTGATGGAAAATTTTAGAATCATGGAGTTTTCGACATTTTTGTCAAAAAAATTTTGGCAGGTAGTTCCTTATTGAATTTGAGAACATGGAAATATTGGTCACCATAAAAAACCTGGGTTTGTCAAATTTGAAAGATATTGTTGAAATAGTGGAATGGGTAGATCAGTTTCAAATGAAATATCATAGTGGAAAAGGGTGGAAAGATCAGGGGTGACGTAATGAATTAAACAATTGGTAAAGTGGTGGCAGAGTTTGAGGAATTTTGTGTAAGACTTTGAAAACAGAGTGTATGCTCGAGGTTAATAACATGAAAATTATTGCTTTAGTTCAGTGGTGGGTAACTTGGGCTGTGACAGGTTGGCAGACTCAATTATGTCAAAATTACTTTTTTGTTAGGAGATGGTGGTTTCGAATGACGTAGAGGATCTAGTAGAAGAATCTAATGATATGATGATGGTTAAAGTGGGAGTGGTGGACTGTGTTGAAATATCCAATAAGGTGGTGAGGCCCATGGAAGACAATGGAAGGGTCCCAAAAATAATATAAGCGCGGGCCTAGACCTAGGTACTGATATGCAGAATCGAAGTTGGTGGGTTTGTGCTCGATATTTGTGGCTTTTCAGAAGATGAGAATCACTTGGCTCTCTATCTGCTGGTTATGGGGCCGACAATAATAACAATGCAAGGCACGGGAGAAATTCTAGAGGAAAAGGGAGAAGAGATGGAGGCTAGATAAAATTAAGGGAACTTAAGACGCCTACAAGAAGAATGAAAAGTAAAAAAAAAAAAAAAAAAAGGCTAAGAAAAATCAAAGATCTGCCATTAATAAGCAAAGTGAAGAAATCATTGCGAATGCTTCATTGTCGGATAGGGACTTTTGGAGCAGAGGCAGAGTGCTGGGCATGAAAAAGGCTAAGTCGACAAGGGAGAAAGGGAAGATGCCTGTTATGGTTGTAAGCTGTGGGGATAATCCAGTGATCCAGAAATTGAAGGTGTTTGAGTCTTTGGGCAAGCGATTGGCATGAGTTATCAGGATCCGGCATTGAACTGTTGAACATTTCTTGCATAGTTGTTTTTGGTGATTTTCTCTCTCTCTCTCTCTCTCTCTCTCACTCTTTTTTTTTTTTTTTTTTTTAAGAATTGAGATAAGAGAGGAATGTTATTGAGCAATATTCGAGGGTTGAGAAAATTTGTAGAATGTGGAGATTTGAGGAATGTGGTGAACTTTCATAAATATTCGATATGGTGTTAATGAAGGAAACAAAATTGGAGGAGATTTCAGATGTGATCATTCGAAGGATATGGCCTGATGTGAACTATGATTGTTTCTCAGCTGCTAATGAATTGGGATAAAGATGGATTTAGGAAGAGAGATTTGGTTATTAGGAGGAATACGATGTATGTGTTGGGAGCTGGGTAAATTGAAAATTTTAATGTGTCCTGTGTAATGTATATGTTCCTTGTGACATTGAGGCAAAGAAGAATCAGTGGGCTGAAATAAGTAATTGTGTGAACATGGAGGGGGTAATTGTTGTGTGGCGGGAGATTTCAAAACTATTAGGTCTCCGGTGGAAATGATGGGTGTGTTACTAATGGAATTAGGATTGAGGATTTTAATGAGTTTATAAACTATTGTGAACTCATTCGTATCCCCTTAATTGGAAGAATTTACTTTGTTTTTTTGATAGAAAGAGGAGTCGGCCGGATAGATTCTAGTATCTCCATAATGGATTAATAGGTTTAGAGATTTGTGTCATAGAGAAGAGATATTTGCTTTTACTACTACAGTGTCAAATATGAATTCCTTCTCCAATTCTGTTGCAACGTTTGAATTTTGCAAATTATGGAATAGTATTTTTTGAGGCTTATGGTTTTGGATAAGATTCCCACTAATTAATTCATTTAATCAAACAGCTAGATAAAATTGAAATCTAAGCATGCAATAGCATAAATTTGAGCAATAAACAGGTCACAATTAAGCAAATTGATTTAAACAAATTAAACCCTATTAACATGCAAGACTATGAATCAATCTTTGCACTTCTAGCAGAAACTGATTAATGCATTAACTATTAAATTTAAGCTTAGCTTAACTTACTTAACCCTAATTGAAACTGAGTTACTCCTAATGGCATGCAAACATGTCAAATTAGGATAGATTAAACTAAGAATAGCAAATTAAATTAAAACTAAGTTAGATTAAGCTAAACACATGCAAACCGAATTAAATTACTGAATTTAAGCATGCAAACAATAATTTAGAATGATAATAGCATGCAATTGCATGAATCAAAGTAACTTGAGCAAACTAAATCACTAACTGCACATAAATAAAGAAATCGCATGAAACTTGAAGTAAACTTGAAGTGAAATAGCAAAGTGAGTTGATTAAGAACAAGAACATAACTGAAATCAATTTGAAAACTTAAATTAACTTGAACAAGCTGAAATCATAATAGAGAAAACTTAAGAACAATAAAACTTAAAGAAAACTTAAGAGAAGAAGACTAAAAAACTACTAAGTTGATCTGTTACCCTAGCCATAAATTAAAGCATGCTTAAACAAGTAAAAGAACAATAAAGAATAGCTAAGTAACTAGAGATTGGGTACCATACTTTTACCTAAACCTAGAGTTAGCTATTGATAGAATAAGATTACAAAAAAGCCTTAAACTAATGGTCGGCAGACTTGATCTTAATCTCTTGAAGAAATGTAGTTTGGTTTTGCTTGAATTCTCAAAACCAAAAGTCTTCTTGGCTTAAATCTTTGTTGGATAAGCTTTATTTTTTTTTCAAATGGATACATGTAGACCGAATTTTGACTAGATTAAATGCTGACTTATTTTTTTATCTGATTTGGCTTCTCTTGTTCTGATTTGGATAAGTTTTGTCTAACTTAGCACTTACAACAAAAAAGTATCATGCACTTAGCCTTCTTGAACAAAAAGAATTGTGTTTGGTTGGTATCTCTTCCGAGTAGCTTTAAGAGTCATGACTTTGAATAGCTTTCTAAAATGCTTAATCTCATCTTTTCTTGACTTTGAGTAGCTTTAAAATTTTAAAATTTTTTAGCCTCTTTTTTTTTTTACCTTTTATTAATGAATTCTTGAAGAGTTGAATTTCTAAAATTGAATATGTAAGTTTGGTTAAGTTTTTTACAAAATCAAGAATTGAAAGTCTTCAAGAAAGTGTTCTTTAAGTTGGAATAGAACTTTGCTTTTCTTTGAGACTTTTTAGAATGTTTTTCTCATTGAAGAACTCTTAAAGAGAAGTGAAATAAAATTTGATTTTTAACACCTCTAATATTAAATCCCTTAAAATTCATGCTAATCTTACTCTAAATAGGAATAATAAACCCATTTAGGAATAAGTAAAATCCAAGTAAAGGAGGATTAAACCAATAGAACATTGTTTGCAAAAGATTAAAATAGGTTGAAATTAAGTTATACTTAGTTTAGTTCAATAAAGGATTTAATTTAGGTCCAAATTGTACTAATTAAACAATCCAATTAGGTTTACCTAAACATACCAATCTTATTGGGAATAGCCTTATGGCTGGCCAACACCTTTATTTAAACATACACATGTCGCCCTCTTTTATACACAATTAGAACACTACTAAGGGCACTAGACATTTGACTTTAAGTCATCTTTTATCTTATGTGTTGAGAACTCTTGAAAGAAAACAATTGAAAGAGCAACAGAAGATCCTACTAGTGTAGGATTTTGGCTAAACCATTGTCTTACCTTTTGAAGGTTATTTTTTCCTTGTTCGTGTTATCATTAGAAGCTAGATACTTATACAGCTTTTGGTTTTCTACAACTAAGCTTGAAGTTGTTAGAGGATCTTAACACCATCGATAAAGCAAAATAAGTAAATTTTTTCTTAGGATGTACCAGAAGACGACGGATAAGAAGATTGGAGCAGACTTGCAGCATTGAGTGCAACGGCCTGTGGAGATAGGTGGTGAGGTAAAGTTGAGTAGAGAAGAAAATAAAGATTATGCAATGTTTGGATAAATATTAATAAAGGAAAAGAAAGGAAAAGAAATGAAAGTAAAAAAAAAATTTAAAAGAAAGGAAAGAATATATGTACCAATTGTTTGGATAATTAAAATAAATAAAGGAAAGAAAAGGAAAGGAATTCTAACAACCATTGTTTAGATAAAGAGTAAAAAAGAAAGGAAATAATTAATTATAATAATTTTTTTCAATTATAACCTTTCATTGCTTCTGATTTTAAAGAACTACTAAACCATGATATATTTGCTATCTTGTTTGGCCTCACAATTGCTGCTATATCAATGGTTTTCATATTGAAAGAGAAATGTAAAACTTGAAAAAAAAAAGATGGCTTTGAAAAAATTACAGAAAGATTGTGATATGATTAGGTTTTTTTTATTAGGTTTTTATATTAATAAAAAGATGGATATAATAGTTTTGTTATAAAAATAAAATTTTTTTAGCTTTCCTTTCCTTCGCTTTTTTTCCAAATTGGAGTATTAAAAAAGTGAAGAATATAAGAGAAGCTAAAGGTTATTGAATTTTCACCTCTTTTTTTTCTTTTAAATTAAAAGTTTATCCAAACAAAGGAAGACTTTTTTGTTTATGTTACTTTCCTTTATTTTC